TTAATTAAAAATTCTTGCAGAATGATAGGCCATAAATATTAGCCATATATATTGAATAAAATAATATACCATTTTTAAGCTAGCCAAGAGTGGCATGGTGCTGTTGAATTAGAAAGCTTGGTGAATACTTTGGGATGTTAAGTTTCACTGATTTTTTGTGACAGGTATCAAAGCATAATTCCCATCTTTGTGAAATTGTTGCATGGCACATCTCACCTAATGAAATTTGTCAACCTTGCTCTCTTCACTACAGTAGCTTGCCATGCCTATGTTAGTGGGGATGTGCTTTTTTCTTTGTTAATTCCTTGATAAGGGGTATTGTCATTAGGGTATTATTTTTCTGCTTCATTATTTGTCTGGTATTAATCCCTGCTTTTTGGGGTGCTGGTTGCTGGACAGGATATATTCTGGTCTTTTTGTTTCTTTGTTAGCTTTTTTATTGTCTCCTGAACCATGTGTAAATGTGGTTTATCTCTATTTGTCCATGATGACTGTATCTTTTGATCTTTGTAAAAAAATCCCTTAAGCAAATATTATCTTCTGTCTAGTTCTGTGCCAAAATTGCTTGGTATTAATATTTGTATGATGAAGAAAACTGTTTGTATGTATTTACCAGTAGCTGAGGTGAGCTTGAGTTAGTCTTACTTTATCCATCTAGCCAATTTAAGAAAGCAACCAGATAGCCCAGAAATGTTTCTGAGCAAGGCAAGGCAGTGATAGTAATCCTATTGTTTATGTCAGTCAGAAATTTACTGTACTTGATAATGAAGACATGCAAGTGGGAAAAATGGGTTTATTACATAAATGTTTATCTTAATGCCTTTGGATATAGCAGAGGCGGCCTTGTTGCTTTCCATGTGTTGCTGAACTATACCTCCCAGTAGCATCAGCCTACATGGCCAGTGAAGAGAAATTTAGATGGTGTACCAGGTATTCATCCTGCATATATAGGATTTAGTATCTATTTTAGAGATAGATCAGAACTATAAAGATTTTCAAATATCATATGTGTTCGTTTCTGATCAGAAATTGTTAGTGGGAATTCCTGTGTATCTATCCAGTGAAGAAAATGCCCTGGTGTCTATCTGTCTGTCTCACTCACTCTCACTCTCCCCCACCCTTCCTTNCTCTCTCTCTCTCTCTCTCTCTCTCTCTCTCTCTCTCTCTCTCTCTCTCTCTCTCTCTCTCTCTCTCTCTCTCTCTCTCTCTCTCTCTCTCTCTCTCTCTCTCTCTCTCTCTCTCTCTCTCTCTCTCTCTCTCTCTCTCTCTCTCTCACACACACACACACACACACACACACACACACACACACACACACACACACACTTCTTGGCTTACTGAGCATGCAGTTCCCTTGAAGAATACTTGGAAACCACAACTGGTACATCCCAAAGGTGCTTTTTCATGAAGCAACTGGACTTTCTTGTTTTTCTTTGAAGACATTATGCTTATCATCCAAGAAGCTTCTTCAGCTCTGACTGGATGGCAGGGAATGAAAGGATTTATATTTCTTGCAGACAGCTGATCATTTGCATTCTTTTAGAGAGTGGTTGAGGCCACCTGGAGATTTATCTGTGTCTCCAGGGTCACCTGAGTGCAAATGGGTGTGAAACCTTGGAATTGCTGAAAGGACTGTGTTGTAGACTGGAGATAGATGTAATATCCCTCCCCCTCTGTTGAGAGAGGGCTGCTCAATTTTGACATAGATAGCCTCTTTGACTCCTCTTTCAAACTAGCGGTCCTCTCTGTCCAAAATGTGGACTTTACTGTCTTTGAAAGAGTGACGTTTGTCTTTTAAATCCAGATAGACTGCTGAATCATGTTGTGCCATGCGTTTATGAAGTGATTGTTTTGATTCCCCAATGTACAAATCTGCACATGGCTCACTGCATTGTGCTGCATATACATGTTGCTCAGTTTGTGTCTGGGTGTTTTATCCTTGGGGTGGACAAGCTTCTGCCTTAGTGTATTCGTGGATTTGAAAGTGTGCACATATGTTGTGTTGGCTGAAGATCCTCCAGAGCTTTTCCTATATTCCTGCAAAGTATGGAATGACAATGTTGCTTTGTTTATTTTTTTCTTCTTTGTCTGTTATGGAGGAGCTTCTGCTGGGTCTTTTTGATTTGATGAAGGCCCACTTGGGATAGCCACAAGCTCTGAGGGCTTCCTTGGTGTGTTTTAGTTCTTTTTCTTTACCATCTTTGCTGGTAGGCAGAGCTTCAGCTCAGTGGTGTAGGGTTCTAATAATTCCCATTTTGTGCTCCAGTGGGTGATGAGAATCAAAATGTAAATACTGATCCGTGTTGGGGGGTTTTCTGTAAACTTCAATGTTAAGCCTTCTGTCTTCTTTTGGGATAACTATGACCTGGATGACTGAGAATCTCCATAGACACAACTGATACAGAATGCAGTGGTGCAGACAGTTCTGGAGGCCCCTCAGGTGTCACATGTGACACTGTTTTTACATGAATTGCACTGGCTGCCAGTTTGCTATTGGGTCCAGTTCAAGCTTTTGGTCATTACATACAAAGCCCTTAATGGCATGGGTCCAGAAAATTTGAGGAACTAACCCGCCCCACTCATTCCAGTGGAAAGGGCCTATTTCAGATCCCATCAGACAAAGAATTTTGGCTAGTGAAGTCCAAGAGAGGAGCCTTTTCTATTGTAGTCTCTGCTCTTGTGAATATTCTCCCAATTGGAAACAAGGTCCATACTCCTGGGCTTTCCCAGAAGAGACCCAAAACATATCTCTGCCACTTGGCTTGGGTCCTGACAGGGACCTGTTATGTTGGGGGTGGCTGACCAGGTAGAGAAGAACCCCAGGTCATCGCCTAGGTTTTAGCTTTTCTATTCAATTTTTCTCATTTTAATTGCTTTCTAGTACATTTCTACTTTTTATGATATTGTAAGTTACTCAGTGTTGCTGTTTCAATGAGATGGGTGCCATATAAATTTAATAAAATAAAATGTTAGAACTGCAAGAAAGCAGTTTTGGGTTATGCATAAATAATAGCTTATGTTATGTGCAAAATCTACAAGACATCTTATTTTTGGAGAGAAAAAAATAGCAACCAGAGGAAGTAACACCACTTCATGTCCTTGGAGCGTGAATCATCTCTCGATTCAGCAATCTCTAATAATTCTCTAATTTTGTGTGTGCGTGCGTATGTGTAATCATATTCATCGAAATCGATAGACGAACAACAACAATTATATGATATAATTTTCCATGAATGTGGATGAGTGTAATAAAATAGAACTATGTACCCTTCAAAAATTATTTTGAAATGTAGTTCGGAAAAATTGAGTGAGCACATCTTTTCTCAGACTCCATGTGAGCCTGAGAAAAGCTACAGCAGCTTAAATCAGACTCATAAATGAGCAACATCTTTTTTCGGGCTCAAACACAAGCTTTTTTTTTTTTTTTTTTTTAAAGATGCCTTTTTTAATGAATAGCACAGGGACACTGTGTTCATGTAAGGTCCAAAGTACTACTTCTAAATTATTTCAAAGCATGCATAGCCCTATGGTACTGCTTCCACTGCTCATTAGACCTAAAAGTTTATAGACTGAATCAGATTCATTTGTTTGTCTGGTTTTCAGTGCAAATTTTATATCAAAACACCATTATTTAAAAGGCCTGCTTATGGCTAAATCGGCTATGAAGATAAAAGCAGCTGTTGCTTTTTCATAGTGATTTTTTTAGAGCTTATGAGAAGAAAAATACATTTTTTTAAAAAAAACAAAGTGCTTTGAAAAAATTATTTAGTGTGGGTGCTTATAGAAATGGTCAAGTAATAAAATTTACTTCAGTCACTCAGCTTTTTTCTAGGGAGTCTTCCATAGCAAATGAAGAAACCCCAACCAATTGATGTTGCTATATAACCAACCAAAGACATGAAGAAAGAGAGAATATGATTGTAACAGTTCACAGTTCTCCCGCACAGGTTCCGTCATAGAATATACCTGGGTAATAATCTGAATATGGACTATAAGTGCAAGGGTGCTAAAACACCATTTGTGAACACTTTTGAATTCTTGATATTTCTGTATAAATATAACCTAAAACATGATCTATTCTCCCTAAAAGTCCTAAAACAAGGACCCAATTAAACAAATGAGTCAAAAACATTATACTTGTTTATTTTCTTTATTGAAAAAAATGATCAAAAGCCTGATACTTGTGTGTGTGGCAAGTGTGCACCTCTAGAATTATCAGTTCATTTGAAGGGGAGATTAGAGTCAGTTGTTTCAATCAGTGGGATGTTAATTATTTAAAGAACAGAATTCTGGTTGTTCACTGCTGAAATCTGAACTTCACAACACAGATATGTGGAAGCGTCATTGCTCAAAGCCATGGCTCAAACAAAGGAGTTTCCTGAAAACGTCCAAAAACAGTTGCTGATGCTCACCAGATAGAAAAGGTTACCAAACTATTTCCAAAATGTTTGGACTCCACCCAGTCCACAAATCGAGTTCACACCATCAGCAACATGTGTAATACTCCACGAGTTCTCAAAGAATCCCAGGGTACTGTGTAAGGCCCTAATGGCTTCTCTTGCATTGCCAAATACCAGTGTTCATGAGGCCACCATCAGGAGAACACTGAACAATAATGATGTGCATGGCAGAGTTGCAAGGAGAAAACCACAACTCTCCAATAGGAGTATTGCTGCCCATGCACCATTTGTGAAAGACCACTTGAGTAAACAATCTGGCTTTTGGAAGAATGTTCTCTACACAGATGAGACCAAAATGTAATTTTTTGTCTTAATGAAAAGTGTTATGTTTGGCAAAAGGCCAACACTGCATTCCAGTCCAAGAAACTTACACGTGTTAATGTAAAACATGATGATGGCAGAATCCTGGTCTGGGCCTGCTTTGCTGCCTCTGGACCAGGATTGTTTGCCATCATTGATGGAATTCTGAATTGTAGCAACAAACTCCCAAAGAAAATGTCAGGGTCTCTGAACTGAAGCTCAAGAGAAAATGGGACATGCAGCAAGACAACGACCCAAAACAAATAACCAAATGATGTTTAAAGCAGAGAAAAGATAATGTTTTGCGATGGCCAAGTCAAACTCCTGACCTTAATCCTGCAGAAATAGATTACAAAGTGGAAGGAGATGAAGTGGGCAAATCCACCAACATCCGTCAGCAGAAGCTGGGCTAAAATTCCTCCAAGCTGATTTGCAAGACTGATCTTTGGAAATGCTTAGTCGCCATTATTGCTGTCTAAAGTATTGAAAGCAAAAGTATGCATGCTTTTGCCACACACAATATATAGCTTCTGCATACTTACGCAGAAATATTGAGAATTCAAAAGGATTCAATAACTTTTAAGCACCATAGTATCTAAAAGAGGTTTCTGACAAGTGATGCATACACACACACACACACACACACACACACAGAGAGAGAGAGAGAGAGAGAGAGAGAGAGAGAGAGAGAGAGTATATACTGATATGCTAATTTCCTTCCCCTTCTTATCTCCAAATATTTTCCAGGTACAAAGCAAGCCAGTCCAACTGAAAGCTGGTGTCTTACAACCGAGGAATATGAAAAATGGGATAGACTATATAAAATAAAAGCTGGTGAAGGAATAAAAAAGCCAATATTACCACGGAGTCACTTTGTAACATTAGAATGCAAAGATACAAGAACAGTAAGTTAAAACATATACTTCAGGGTAATTTAATGTGGTCTGGCTGAAAGTCATGAAAAAAGTACTTAAGCCTGAAGAAAAATGTCTTGAGCTGTTGTCAGCAGTAACATATATGTTTTGATATAAATATAGAGAAGATATATATGTCTTCAAGACTTTCTTCTTTAACAATTATATTCAAATATAACTTCAAATTATTGGAGAAAATGCCAGATACTTAATACAAAATAAATATAGGACCTTGGCAATCACATCAGACATGACCTTTAAAAGATTATGTCTGATCCTTCTTTCATTTGAATGTTCTCCATTTTATATGGTCTTCAACTCTTAGAATTCACAGCCAGCATGGTCATTGTTAAGAATCCTTGAAGCCCTAAATCTTTGAAGTACATTTATTGGGGAAAGTTTGTATAGATATTCATCTTGAAAAATAATTAAAATTTAACTTGCACAAGGGAGTGCTATGAAGGATCAAAGTGTCTGTAAAAACATATGGATGTTCCATTGTAGATCTCTACAATAAATACTATCTAACAAATCAGCATTTCCTACGAATGCTAATGAAAGAATTCAGAGCAATTTATTATAGTGGTTAAGACAGCAAGTCATATTACTGTGAGTTCTACTCTCACCTTAGGCATGAAACCAGCTGGTTGACTTTGGGCCAGTCATTCTCTCAGAAAAAAAGCAGCCAGCCACTGTCAAAAATCTTGCCAAGGAAACTGCAGGAATTAGGAATCAAGACTTACTGAAAGGCACAAAACAGGGAGGAATTATAACTAAACAAACTAATGCTGGGATTTGTATGTGTAAAATTAGAAATATTGTGAAATATGAGAAACAAATGCTTCATTCTCAGTTTGTTAACTAATAAAGTGGTGCTAAAAATAAAATGCTTGTTTATTGTATGAAAAAACACATTTTTCTCATAAATAAAAGTAAATATTTTTTTCTAATAGCAATAGCACTTAGACTTATATACCTCTTCACAGTGCTTTCAGCCCTCTAAGCGGTTTACAGAGTCATCATATTGCCCCCAACAATCTGGGTTCTCATTTTCCTGACCTTAGAAGGATGGAAGGCTGAGTTAACCTTGAGCCTATCAGGATCGAACTCCTGGCAGTGAGCAGTGACTTAGCCTGCAATACTGCATTCTAACCACTGCGGCATCATGCCTCCTCAGTTCTAAGTTAGTTCTAAGCTAGCTTTATCTTTATTTTGGATTATTCTTTTGAGAAGCCCGAGCTGTGACCAGCATTGGTAGCATTCTATTTTCTTTGTGTTTTGAAATCTTAGGAATTGGAAACTAAAGAAGTTCATGAACTGTCACTGACAGAATGGGCAGTCTGGCAGAACCGGCCTTTCCCTACCTATCTGGTGGATCACTCTGATCGTTGCTTCCACTTCATTAGTGTCATGGACATGATAGAGCAAATGAGACATGAAGAGGTGAGTAACATGCTTTTCTATTCTGGAGAGCCTTATCTCCTTTCTAAGCTCCCACATGCATTTTATTGGGCTGTGACATAGGATTCTGGAATAGACAATACTCCCAAAGCATGTCACTATTCGGTGTTTCCCTTTGTGTCTTTTATTCAACACAATAGACCAAAGAAGATTATGCCCTCTCTTTAAAAAGATGTTGAGAAACCTATTGAAAACATATTAGTTTGCCTGATGTCATTGCTTAGGCAATAAAGTTTACAGATAGGTAGCTTTTTCATCAGCAATTAGTTTAACTTGTCAGATAACTCATAAAGTTATTCATTGACTTTTAACTAGTTTGGTAATTATATTGTGGATGAGAGCAACACCTCCATACTTTTTGGATTTCAGTGTTACCAGAACTATAATGCAATTAGGACTTCAAGACAATAACAATAAACAAACATACCAAAAAGAAGAAGAAAAAGAAGAAAGAACCAATTCTTTAAATATGTAAACTTCAGGAAAGCATATATGTTTTCTTTAGGAGAAAAGTTTAGGAAAGTACCCTGAATAAAAGACACCTCTAATATATTTTTCTCCAACTGTTAGATCTTTCTTTTGTTCCTCTGTCCACTTTTATTATTTTCCATTTGCCAATGTTCTGATTTTTAGTTAACAGAATAACAGAGTTGGAACAGACCTTGGAGGTCTTCTAGTCCAGCCCCCTGCTCAAGCAGGAAACCCTATACCATTTCAGACAAATGGTTGCCCAATCTCTACTTAAAAGCCTCCAGTGCTGGTTAAGTTTTGTGATGGTCTTTAGCATGCAGCTTCTAGTACTGTGTATAGAACTGGAGATGCACTTCCATGTCCCCTCAGCTAAGAAGCTTCTGCCCACAAGGTAACTGTTAGTTAAAAGAAAAAAAACAGGATAAAATTCATTCCTGGTCATTTCCTGTTCCTTAAGAAAAAGAACATAATAAAGGTATGGGTTAGAACATAGTTTACTTTCTCCCTGGAAATGTTTAAGCTGAATTATAGTTGTTAAATCAGGCACAATATTGTTTAAAAGAAAAAAGAAAATAGAGTTGTATAAGGTTTCACAGTTAATCTCCAAAAGGTACTGCAGAATGTCCAGGAATGTGAACTACTATTACAGCAGCAATCATAAAAATAACAAAAAAAAGGAATAGCTCTTAATGAGAGAATCTTTGGTTTGTGACTATTTTTTTTTCCTTTAGTCAGATATATCCAACAATATTGGGTCTGAATCTCTGCAAATTTAACAGTAAAAGTGCTGCCAGTATAATAGGGGAAACGTAATCTTTTGGGGGTTTCATAGTTAACAGCAGATATGATAAGCATTAGGCCTTGTCGAAGATTTATTTCTGGTAGCACAGTGAAAATTGCCAATTCTTTATCAAACTAGAGTGAGGGTGTGGTGTACTTAGTATTTTGTCCTGTAACTGGTACTCTTTAACAATTTTCATGATGGCTTGGGGAATAACACTTATAAAATTTATAGCTGATGCAAAACTCAAAATACCTATTGTTTTAATAGACAGAGTTAGGTTGCAGAAGTACACTGAAAGTACTAGAGTGAAATTTAGTGGAGTTGTTAAAGGCAAAGTTATTAATGCAAAATAAATCTAGAAATACGACAGAGGATAATCTGGCTTGAGAATGTATGAAAATCCATGCATGTAAAAATTGTAGCTGAACCCAATCTAAGTAGTGTCCCCCCCCCAAAAAAAGATCAATATGGTATTAGACTGTACCAATAGATCCAAATCAGGGATCTAATAGTTCATTCTGTTCTGCATTAGTCAGACCTGACCTCATGTACTGTGTCCAGGGCACCAGGCTTTAAGAAGAATTCAGACAAACTGGAGCAGATAAAAAGGTCAGTGAGAATGGTCAAAGGATTAGAACTAAGTCTTATGGAAAAATGAGGGAACTGGGTAGAGGTAACCTTGTGGAGAGGACATATAATTCTTCAGGTACGTGCAGGAGCTTCAGTCAGAGGATGACATCTCTGTTTTCTCTTATACTCAAGTGAAGATTCTAGAATGATATATAGCTGTAGGGGGCAGCTCCCAGATGAATGTTAGGAAAAAACCTAAGAGCAGTTTCGATAGTAGAACTAATTACTTTGAGAGACCTTTATTGCAGAGGTCTCCAATCTTTCCGGACTCGAGGACCGGAGGGAAGGAGATCAGCTTCAAAATTGATGTGCGTGCGCATGTGCACGGGGCCACACACACTGGCACGGCACTAGCAGCCCCGGTCACGCATGCAGCATGCGCTGGTGCCATGCACATGCGCAAATGGCCACGCAAACCGCCTGAGCTAGTGGCACATGTACAAATGGGCTGCGGACACCCACCCCACACTAGCATTCCCATCTGCACCCGCGCGCATGCGCACACCAGCCAGCTGTTTTTGTGGCCCACTGGCCAAGAGCCTACAGCCCAGTCCCGGGCCATGGACCATAGATTGGAGACCCCTGCTTTATTGGATGTGTTGGAATAAAAACTAGATAGATACCTGACAGAATGTCCTGTAATGAAGAGAATTATTATTATTATTATTATTATTTTAATTTCTATACCGCCCTTCTCCCGCAGGACTCAGGGCGGTGCACAGCATATTAAAACAGATACACATATCAATAAAAATAAAAACCCCTCTAAAACCAAATTAAAACCAAATATTCGAAGCTGTGTTCCAATTAAAATTATACCTAAAATCGTCCCTAAATAAAATCCTCCTTNGTTTTTTTTTTAAATAAAGTACTGCAATCCAAAAAATGTAGGGATGATCTTGCCATGGATCATTAAGTTGTTACCTGGACATCTAAGAAAATAAAACTTGTCAGTCTAATTCAGGAGTGGCAACACCTGATTGGCTTTGTCTGGGTTCAAAAAACTAAGCAGGTTTTATTTATGGTTAGCAGCTGGATGTGAGACTACCATGGAATTTAGATGGATGGATTGTTGATTATTGAGAATAATAATAATTTAGAAAATAATTTAGAAAATTTCCATCTGTTACAAAAGACCACACAGCTTGGATCCACACATATACTATATTGATACAATAGGACTTCCTAGGTTCTTGGGAAGAACTCGATGAATATGAAGGCAACACCAGTTGGAGAACTAGCAGCTGTTAGTTCACATTTTTGTGCCTATGTCATCCGACTCTCAGCAACTCTGGGGTCATGCTAATTGATGTGAAATTTAAGTATTTCACCTTCCTCTTCCAGAGGGTTGCTTTTTTATAACTTTATCAGATTTGTTAAGTTATGTGCATTTAGGTATCCTAAAGTACTTTTTGATGTTAATGGCATACTAAGCTGAAAGTATTATAAGAATGTAATAATAGTACAGTTAAGTCCTTCCTATTGGTTAAGATTAAATCAAAGAGTATCTGATCCACTTAAAATTTCTTTTGCTTCTAAAACAGAAAGTTGTGAGCATGTTTGGAATTTTTCTGAAGGTCCAAGCTGGGCAAAGTTTATCTCCAAAATATTGATATACTAAAAGCCTCCCACTGTTATAATTTCCTGCCTATTTGAAATATCTGCAAGTAATTTTTGGAAGTCTCATCCATGGCTGGATAAGTCAGGATTGACTGGATAAGACCCTTATGACTTACCTTAATGAGCAGGCTCCATTATAGTCGTAACTTAAGGACTAAATGTACTTTTATTAAAGTAACGTGATGCAACTTCTCCCTTTCTATTCTGATTTGTGACATTCAAAAAGAAGAGGCAAATCAGGGTGCTCAAGTTGAGAGCACTGGCCTTGAATTTCAGATCAATTACCTAAAATGATTGTGGGTTCATTGCATGTACCACAGACTTCCTCTTTTCTATCAAATTCCGTTCTGTAAACTAACAACAACTTAGTGAATGCCAATAATGCAGAAGGTAAAGAATGTAACTGTGTAAATTTCAGAAATAAAGTGTTTTTTTCTTTATTATCTTAACTAGGGAGAGTGTGCTTATGAGCTGGCAATCCAACCTTATCTTCATTGGGAAGATGTTCATGCATCAAACGTTCAGATCAGCAAAAGATGTGAGACCATGACTCTTGAAAAAGTATCATCTAGAAAAAAACCAGCAGCTACAGCAAAAGAAAAATATTCCTTACAAGAATTTGATGCAGAATGTATGTCGCTGTTTAAAGTGGCCAATTTTAAATCCTCGAAAAGACCTCAAGTGATTGATGTAGAAACTGCAGTTCACGCTAAAAAGGATGGCAGCATTTCAGCTTGCTTCTCAACAAGCCTATCACCGTTACTTGAAGCTAGAGGACAGAAAGGTTTGGCAGATGAGAATCAAGAAAATACGGATCCAGCACTCAACACAAGTATTCAAGAAAGGACTTGTGTTAATCCTGAAAAGGCTATAACAAAAATAATTCATCCTGCTCCTGAAAATTGTGTACAAAATGGACAGTGTGTGGATTCTGGCTATGGCTGTTTTGCAGATGATTCGTATCTTTCATCTTTATTTTATCTCCCAGTGCCAGAGATTGATTTGTTTAGATCTTCTGAAACAAATGCTGATGAGAACCTTTCTTGGGGAAAAGACATCCAGATGAATGTAGCAAGACTTCTGTCACAGTCCCCACCATCTCTGGATGAATGGTTTGCTTCTGAGGAAAAAAGGGTGAATGAAGGCATGGAGCTTGATTCATTACAGCAATGGGTTTCCAGCAAGTCTAAAGACAATATTCCAGAGAAAAGTGTATGTTTCAAGAATGTGTCTATTTCCCCTCAGAACAGCTGTGAACTCTTAAACAACGGTAAATTGTGTTCAGTGGATACCTATCCTTTGGAAATGAATAATATTCCAGATACCTTCATTAGCAGTATGAATGATCTTAGCTGGGATGACATTTTTGAAGTTGAAACTGAACAACAGAATGGAATTCAAGGGGAGAAACTGTCAAAAGTAAACGATAATCCAGCATTGGATTCTCTGAAAAGGGATAGTGGTAAAAACTGTGCAAAAACATGCGAACAATTTGGACGAAATGTAAACCCTGAGGAAGATTGTTCTATGCATTTATTGGGAAATCATGGACAGAATAGTCATCCATCAGTTGAAAAAATGGGGGCACCTTCAGAATTACCTGGCTTGTGTGGTCAAGCTAACATGCAGAATAACAAACCAAGAACCCCTGAATGGCATTTTTCTGACCAACTTGTTTCTGTTTGCAATACAAGTCTCATAACATCATTGATGCCACGTAGAGATAAAGTAGAAGTCTCTGCTGATCTTGATCATGGAAGCAAAGCAAATCCCCATGATTATGAGCAGTTATATGATGCTTCTGAGGATTTGTTCTCTGTTAACTTTGATCTTGGATTTTCTTTTCAAGAGTCAGAAGATGATGCCTTAGAGCAAATGAACTCCATGAAAAATAAGAGGAGCTCTGCACCTGGTCATTCCAATAGGGTTGAAACCTCTTTCTCAAATAGTAGCTTGGTAAATAAATATACTAGTAATGAATGTTTTAATGTGACTAAATCTTCTACACCATTAAACTTGCAAAAGCACGATCCTGGTCTGGCAGCAATTGACCCTGCTATTTCTTTGGCATCTCCTTTCACACCAGCAATTCAGAGATTTTATCAGTCACCAAACCATGTAAAAACTGTGTGTTCCACACCCACAGGTGGACAAATGATACATATTAGAACTTCTCATGGTTCTTGCTCTAGAAATAATCAAGAAAGCTCACATATGAGAATTTCAAGAAAAGCAAACACCAGCATAGTTAAAGTCTTGGCAAAATCAGCTTTTGGAGTAGAGGATCTTCCATCCCATGAACCTGGTAAGACCAAAAATGAAGACCTAAATTATTTTACCAGGCTTTCTGCAGAAGTTAAGATTTCAAGTGCATGATTGTGTGTGTAAGAACAATGACACAGCTATATCCTTGAGCATCTGCACTCTTTAGGAGGCCTAACGAAACCTGTGACTGAGGGCTTTGGGGATGTTGAATAGTTCTCATTACTTTATTCTATTTTCAGCTCAGCACCTGCCTAGCCTTTTAGATGCTCTGTAATGCAGCTAAAGATCAGCTTGTAGCAAATGTAATCACTATATGATAAACTTATAAATGTTTACTGTTATGTTGGCTAAAGTGATCTTCTTTCTGTGAGAATATATAAGATCCTTATATTTACTACTGCAGATTTCCTGACTGTACAGTTGCTGGGTTTGTACATTTAAATGTACACAAAAGCATTTATAAATAAAATAATGAATCTTGGAAATATTTTAAAGCTATCCTAAGATTGATAACCAAAATTTGATTTGCTCCTTTGAAATATTATATCAGACTGAACTGTTGGTATATTTTTATTTCCTCCTCAAAATAAAGAATAATCCACTTGATTAGGGAAGATAGATGAGAAACAAAATATAGAAACTCAGTTGAATATGCTATTTTGTTCTAGACGGCTAGTTTATGTGAAGAGCAGTCATATCCAGGTGCAATAAGTAAAACTGGTTTACTAATGCTTTCCCATCTTTTTAATTTGTTCCCATGATGGGAAATATTGTTTTAACTTAAGCTTCAGTTTCATCTTAACTAGCCTGGACTTTGTGTTGATAGAGAATTTCTGCAAACAAGAAATTGCCTTATTTATTTTTTAAAAATGGAAATGTATATTTTTTTTGTGTCTAAACAAGTTCATTGTATGCTGAAAAAATCAGGTTCTTATTATTAATTCTTCACTATAGGAGACAGCAGTGAAGGTGAAAAATTTTCTTCTCTCAACAAAAAAAAGAAAAAAACAAAAATTTTGAGAACTTCAGATGTGAGTAATTTAGCTATACTTAAGCAATTTTAAGTGAATCAAATACTCCTCTCAGAGACTTCTTAATGGATACTCATTTATTCATTCTTTCTTAGATTAGTGACTGTGACTTTGAATCACCAATTCATGCTGTCAAGAAACGGAAACGTCCACTCATTGCTGTAAGTTTCTCTCTGACTAGTGTAGAAAGAATGTGCTTAAAACATGTGTTGCTGAATTTGGCTTGAATAGTCGTATCTAAATAAAATTAAATTTTATGTTGCCCATCAACTTGGCGGGATTGCTTCGTTTGCTAAGACAGAATATTTTAGTTTTTATATGTTTTTGATATACAAGGTCTTCTAATGCTCAAACAAGAGCCAATTTGGTGTAGTGGTTATACTGACAGAGTTCTAGTCCTGCCTCAGACAGAAAGCCCATCATTCTCTCTCAGCCCCAAGAAGAAGACAAATCATTTCTAAAATGTTGTCATGAAAAATGTATGGATTTGTCCAGGGAGTTGCCAAGAGTCAAAAATGACCCAAAGGCACCTCCCTTCCCCCTCCCCAAATCAGTTCAGATTCAGATAACCTTTATTGTCATTTTTTTTCCTGGGGCCCAATGGCACACATTAAAAATGAAATTTAGTTGCTTGCTCTCAAGTGTACACATACATAACACACATTTAAAATATACTATATACTATATACAACATATGTCTAGACCTACACCCGTACATATATGTAACATACATATTAATCGCTATCTTGAATACATAACAGAAAGAGGAAGCTTTAGAGTTCACAAGGTTAATACTGTATGGAACAAAATTGTGACTGAATCTAGATGTTCTGCTTCGGATACCACAGAGCCTCTGCCCAGAAGGTAACAAGGAAAACAGGTCGTGAAGAGGATGTCATTTCTCTCTTCTGTACAGGGGAAAAAATATTCACAAGATGGAAAGTTATTTTATACCAGACCAGAACTATTGGTCTAAACACCACATTATAATATAGACCAGGCATGTTAAACACCCATCCCGCGGGCTGGATGCATCATACTGAAACCGCGCCCACCCCATTGCTGGCAATGGGGCAAAAGTCACGATACATCACATGATGTCACATGACATGCCTGATATAGATGACTAATTTGGCTTTTAGTTCAGGTAGTCCTCAAGTTACAAATGTAATGGAGCCTGCCAATTACATTCGTAACCCAAGAATTCATAGGAGTGAATCGCGTAACTTGAATGCAATCACTCCCTGCTTTTGCCCACGCATTTGCTAATCGAATGCGCGGGTTGTTAAGTGCACACGAGGTATCTCAGGGTGGGGAAGGCCATGGGGGCCTAGTGCAGGAACAAGACCAATGTGTCCAGCCACCAAAGGCCTCCCCCCACCCATTGAGAGACCCCATGCTCCTCTTTCCACCCCTTGGGGTCCCAAGTTGCTTGGGCCTTTTCTTCCCACCCTGTCACTGACTGCTAATTTATCTTTGGTGCCACATTTGAGAGCCCCACACTTCCCACGCTTACCTGTGCAGCCTTGGGTGCCGGAGCCCTTGTCCAGCAGGCAGAGAAGCGCCGGGCCGGGCTCTCCCCTTCCCTGATGAGCCCCAGTCTCTCTCACAAGTGGGTGTGGCCCTGCCCTGCCATTTGCTGGAGTGCCGAACCCGCCTGGGTTTCAAAAATTGCAGTGCCACGGAACTGAAGAGCTTGTCACGCCATCGCCCTGCTCCCCTCACTTGCCAAAAGCACTCCTTTTCCAAACTGCAAGAGAGACTCCTAAACAATTCTACTCGTGCTGGTTCTGGTTCGGCACTCCAGCAAGTGGCAGGGCAGGGCCCCGCCCATTTGTGACAGAGGCTGGGGCTCAGCAGGGAAGGGGAGAGCCCGGCTCAGCGTTTCTCTGCCTGGCTGGACAAGGGCTGCAGTACCCAAGTCCGCACAGGAGGCGAGCATGGGAAGTTCGGGACTCTCAGTCATGGCACCAAAGTAGCATGTTGCAGTGTCTCTGTGATCGTTCGTAAGTGTGAAGGACCGCTGTGATGTTGCAACATACGTAACTTTGGGACCTGGTTGTAAGTAGTTTTGGCGGGGAATGTCGTAATTTTGAATATTCATTAAGTAGACGTTCATAACTCAATGACTACCTGTATGAGGGAAGATATAAACTGGAAGACATGAAAAGGCTACCTTTTAAAATAATTGTTATTAAAAGAAGATTTTACAAATATTTTAAAAACTATAGAATCATGGCTGAAATAGAAGAAGATTTTAAAAGAGTAGTAAAAGAAAAAGTGAAGAATAACAAAAAGAAAGATATCTAAAGAATGACATTTCATCTTTTGTTACAAACTTAGCAATTAACATCCCCACCCTCCCATATTGCATATCATAGGTCTATTCTTCCCACAAACAAAGCTTTTCACTGAATAAATTCCAAAATCAGCAGTTTATTTTTATCCATTTTCAGTAAAAAGTCAATAAAGAGTTTCTAGCTTTCATAAAAATAATTGTAGTTCCCTCCTTGATCAAATAAGTCAATTTAACCATTCTGCAAACTCAGCATCTTCAGAATTCATCCCCTCCATTATTGGTGCTTTTATTATATCTATAACTATTATTATTATATCTACAATAACCTTGCTGCAGTTACTATATACAAATAGTCCTCTATTTACAACCACAATGGACCGGAACTTCTATTACTAAATGAGGCATTCATTAAGTGAATCATGCCTGGTTTTATAACTTTGCTCAATTGTTAAGTGAATCACACAGTCACTTTGTCAGAATATAGCTGGGAAGGTCACAAATGACAATCACATGACCCCAGGATGCTGTAACCATCATAAATACATGTCAGCTGAATTTTGATCACATAACCACAGGTTCACTGTAATAGTTATACATGCGAAGACTGGGGAAGGGTGTTTTTTTTTTTTTAGCACCATCATAATTTGGAAATTTTGCTAAAAATGGATGTAAGTAAAGGACTATCTGTATAAAACCAATTGTTTATGAGCCTTTTCTAGTTAAATTTTCATAATTCCTAATAAGAAAAAATCCAGTTTCATCTGAAATGTTTAATTTTTAAACCTGCCTGCATCACTATATGCATTTATAATGGAAAAGTTAATTTTGATGTTATTTTAAACAAAAATTATGTTGCATTTTAGTCAGATGTCTCTAGTGATGAAAGCACAGATTTTGCTAAGAAATCAAGCCCAGTGTTTCATGACAGAAAGAACTATATCAAGAAGCCAGATCAAGATACGAAAAGGCAGAAGAAAGGAGACAAACTTCTGATCAAGGTAAGGATGTTACAATTAATTAAGATGACTTCTCTGAATATCTTATTTCTTACTATATTTTGCCTTTGAATAGGTAACATTAAAACCCCTCTAGAATCATATGCATGATTCAGAATGAACATTCACAATCAAGAGAAATTTATGCCAGCCAGACAAATCAAGCCTTAAGAAATCAGGAACAAGCTAACATTTTAAACATATTATGCATAATACATGGATGTCTGGGGAAAGGTGGTTTTCAGTACAAATGGAGTAAGCCATCATCTGAATCAAATTTTCCACATGATAGATGATAGATAGATAGATAGATAGATAGATAGATAGATAGATAGATAGATAGATAGATAGATAGATAGATAGATAGATGATAGATAATTCTAGCTAAATTCATGCAGGTTAGTACCTGAACATTCTCTGCAGTTAACATATTGATATACAGTAGTAACCGTCTAATTGATTTTGTACAGCACAGTAATGTAGTATATGTTAAGTAGTCAGAGTCCTATTTTCCTTTTGGTGAATATAAGTTTTTATTTCAGTAATTTGAAGCTTTGGCAGCTGGGAGTTGAAGCACTTTAAAAACTTAGTGGATCCCAAGAATGATTCATGAAACAACAGCTGGAGTTTAAGCATGGCCTTCTCTGTAATTTGCTATAAGCCCCTAGGAAACAGATCCTTAGTTCCAGCTGATGTATTTTTTGGCCAGTCTACCATTATTGAAATTCACAGCAATCTGTTAAGTGGGTTTTATGTTTCAGTTCTAAAGTGAATTCTTTGAAAGGGAATTGTATCCAAAATTCTCTTTTGCATCCTGTAGAATTTAGCCAAGCACTTCATAGATGAGGAGGCAGAACTTTCTGAAGATGGAGTGGAAATTTCATCTGATGAGAGTGTAAAATTGGAAGGTGAATTGAGTTCTTCCCTTATTCAGTTTCTTGATGATGAGACGCAGATCACTCAAGATTTAAATGGTATGTAGCAAAAATCCTCCCCTCCCTCCCATCAGTTGATATTCTGTTTGAACTTATCCGTGTCTGAGCATCTGGTCCAATGAATAACTTTCTTAGATAAGATATGAATAGCATATTTCCACTCCTGCTCCTGGTTTTTAACTTTGATATAGCAGTGTTCATATGTGTGCATGGAGGTAGGAGAGTTAAAATTTCCATTGTATTCTTGATAATTCCGCTCTCCAATACATGAAGATGCTACTTTGCTTGGAAAGAAGCTGCTCTTGATCTGCTAGACATTTCTCTTCCAGAACCCCTCAGAGATACTTGTGTAATGAGGGTTGCAATGAATCCATAAGGCAATTTTTTCTAAAGGTTATGACAAAAAAAATACAGGTACTCCTCGACTTACAACAGTTCATTTTGTGACCATTCAAAGTTACAACAGCACTGAAAAATGTGACTTATGACCATTTTTCACACTTAGGACTGTTGCAGCATCCCTATGGTCAAATGATCAAAACTCAGATACTTGGCAACTGATTCATATTTATGATGGTTGCAATGGTCCCCGGGTCATGTGATCCCATTTTCTGACCTTCTAACAAGCAAAGTCAGTGGGGGAGCCAGATTCATTTAACAACCATGTTACTAATTTTACAACTGCAGTAATTCACTTAACAACTGTGGCAAGAAAGTTCGTAAAATGGGGCAAAACTCACTTAACAAATGTCTCACTTAACAACAGAAATTTTGGGCTCAATTGTGGTCATAAGTCAAAGACTAGCTATATCATGTGGAGATTTTTTCCACCTGAACAGAAAGAACAGACTCAAGATTGAGTGCGGTTTCAGTTACTTTTATGTCTGACAGTCTATTTTTTTTTTCTACATAGAATCTGAGATGCAGGCAGTTTATCTGAAATCTGTTCGCAGTCCAGCTGTTGGCAACAAGTATAAGATGGTGCATAAAGAATACAATCCAATAACTGTTTTCTCACAGGTAAAAAAGTCAGACAAAGAAAGTGATACTGTAATAAATGGAACCACATCACAAATTGGTCTGAACCTGCAAATGCTTTGAAATGCTTAGATATTATTTTATTGTAAGGAACATTATCAGAGTGGGGGTTTACTTAATAAAAAAAATAACTAAAACAATCCAAATGCAACTATCACAAGTGAGAATATTTTAAGGATTTTTTTTACAAGCCTACCTGAGCTGTTAAGACTTGTCAGTGGTAAGTAACACCTTTATTATCACAAGGTCACGGGGTTTTAAAGATTAGTAGGAAACCATAGCAGGTATAAAATAGAGTGACCCAGTTGATAGCAGCAGAAATCTGCTAGTCTAGAGTAACATGGATACTGCAGTTGTTGTATTGGTTGCCAATAGACTTCTGGACTTACAGTGCCTCAAAGTGCTGGTTATTTCCGATAAATTCCAATACAATATTCCTAAGAACATCAGGGGTTGCAATCTTCCATATGAAGAGAAATGCCTCCTCATCAGATAACAGGAAGGTTGCAAGAAAGAATCAAAAAAATCGGTGCTGTAAATTGGTTCTAAAGTGAAACAACTGAAACTAGCATACTTGCTTATATTTTTGTGCCACTACCCCTTTCATCATAATAAATCTTGCTAAAGAGAATTAAGAATCATATTTAGAAACAAATCCTGTTCGGTCTTAGGCAACTGCATATGTCAGGCTTAGGCAGCCTGACATATGCAAAGTCAAAGCCTTGACTTTCATTTCTTGATGACTTCATGGACACATCCTTAGGTCCTCCCATCCAAGTATTAACTGGGTTTCTCTCTGTTTAAGTTAGTGAAATCAGACAAAAACTAGATAAAAGCACATAAGCACTTTTTAAGCTGTCAGAATTCAACAAAGTGGGGTAAATGTACAAGTTCCATCACTGAGAGAGGATGAACTACTAACACCATAGGCCAGGCATCAAGAAAAGGTTTTATGTTGGAAGATTTTAATGTACTTTTAGATGCAATGCATAATGAAATCAGGAAGTTTTTTAACTATCCTGAACTTATGTTGTAAGGGTTTTTTTTTTAAAGTGCCAAAACTCTTGAGTTTGGATCAGTAATGGTCAGGATCCGTATATAACCAGAATATTACTGATAGTGTCTAATTATAACCGTTAGTTTTGCTTCTTTTTTTCATGAGGCATGGGAATTTGTCAGGATTTGTCTTCTTTCTTCTCAGATTCCAGAGCAAGATGAATGCTACATAGAGGACAGTTTCTGTGTTGAGGACAATGAAGAGGATAAACCCAACAGCAGTTCCAGTGATGAAGATCTGTGCATCAATTTTGACCTTTTAGGGGAAGAAAGCTTTGTGAATGGGAGAAAACAGTACCAAACCCGGCACAGGAAAAAAATGAAAGCAGGCCATGTGAAACTGAAAACAGAAACTCCATTCCTCCCAAAGAGATTAACTAGGGTTCGAATTCTTAACAGATCTAGTGAAGATGAGGAGACTGATAAAAATGAAGAGCAGATGGAATCACGAGTCAGTGCTAAAGTTGATAAGGATTGTAATATTACTTCCTTAACTAAGGATCAGACTCTGCACCAAAAATGCTCAGTTACAAAACCCCAAGAAAGCTATGCTAAGGTATGCTTGGATCCAAACGTATGTTTGTCAGAACAATCAGATTTTCATCCTCAAAGCAAAGATCAGTGCAAATCAGAGCTTGTGGGTGAACAGTTCCAGATTATGCTGAAGATAAGACTGTTTTTTTAAAAAAAAAATACTGCTTCTTTTGTGGATGTCTTGGAATAGTGAAACTAAGGAGTCAGGAGAAAACTTTAAAAATGATTGATTTAAGCCTTTGCCACATTTCTCTTGAGAATCTTCAGTAAATGATTTAATAGATTTCTCCTCATTCGCTAATTCTGCTGTATTATTAGCATAGTATGCTGTGTCAGACAAGTTAGTCTATCTCCTCATTCTGCAGTAGTCAGACCAGCCTTGACTGTTAAATCCAATTCTAGACACCATGGTAACGGTAAGAAATTGAAACATGACAATGGCAAATGACAAAAAAGTTGGTCAAGGAACTAGAAACTGAGAGCTACAAAGAGAAAATGAAGGATCTAGATAAGTTTAGCCTTGAGAAAAGATGATTAAAGAGGAATATAGTACAATCATGTACCTGAAAGCTTGTCACAAAAGAAAGATCAAAAATTATTTTCTCTGGTTCCAGAACACAGAACATAGAATAACATTTAAATTCAGGAAGGCAAATTCCAAATGAAGTGGGGGAAACTTTCTAAGAGCAAGGGTTCAGCAGAGAACAGTTATCCAAATAAGAGGTGGACTGTTCTTAATTGGCATCATTCAAGCTGAAGCTATAAGACCTGTTCCATCCATGTGGATCTATGAGATTACAGAAAGTTATACTGACATTTAACAAAAGGAACATATATGGACATAAAATTTTAAGTAGAGAATGGCTAATCTTTTCTTCCATAGCAATATTATAGAATAGCCACCCTAAATTAAAAATGACATTTTTCCATATTTTTTTCCTCCCAACATCCCAAACGTTTTTCCAGTAATGTCTCTTTAATCAGTAATTGTGACCTGCATTTTTAAATTTTAAAATTTGGAAAAAGCACTTTTGGGGCAACCATGATCTGGATGGTTGAGAATCTCCATAGAGAACTGTGATCTGTGTTTTCTGTGTAATTCTGCAGGCAATAGGTACTTTGATTGACACGATGCAAATGCTAAAAGACTGTTCCCCAGTGTTGTTTTTTTTAGATGTTCTAAGCCTGCTGACTGATACGCTGTCGTGATCTTTGCAGCCAGAAACGTTTTTGGAGAACCTTCCTAGACTCTCTTCTTCTTCTTCCTCCTCCTCCTCTTGGACTCTAAGGAATTCAAAGAAAGCAGCATCTCTGTGCATTCTGGTGGATAACCATGAGATCTCATCTGGGCCAGAAGTTATTTCAACCCTGAAAACTGTTCACGGAGTCAAGGTTGAAATTTGTTCTCTAGGTTCCTGTGATTATATTGTCAGCAACCGTCTGGCAGTGGAAAGGAAGTGCCAGGCAGAATTGGTCAACAAAACACATCAGAGTAAAATGGTCCAGAGGATGCAGCAGCTGAAGAACAAGTTTGATAGGATCTGCATAATTGTGGAGAAGGAAAGAATTAGGACAGGTTGGTATCTTGCCTGGCAAGTCTGCCACAGGCAATTAACTGTTCTGTTCTTCAGGTGCAATTTTTCACGTTAGCTAGTTATGAGATTAATTGTTAATAGGAAAGAAAAGCCATATTTCACAAGGGGGTGAAGGTGGGACTTGAAACAGAATTACAAACTGGGAAGGAGCAAGAGAATTACATCACGGTCCTGCCTCTTTAAGCTAGCAGTGTGCCGCAGCTGCCAAAAAAGCCAACGCAGTCCTAGGCTACATTAACAGGGATAGAATCAAGATCATGTAACAATGCCTTGATAAGGCTACACTTGGAATACTGCATCCAGTTTTCGCCACCACAATGTAAAAAAGATGTTGAGACTCTAGAACAGACATGTCAAACATGCGACGTCACGTGGCGTCGTGCAATGTATCGGAACTTTTTCCCCACTGCTGGCAATGGGGTGGGCAAGTTTTCGTCGTGACGCGTCCAGCCTGTGGGCCGGCAGTTTGACACTCCTGCTCTAGAAAGAGTACAGAAAAGACCAACAAAGATTATTAGGGGATTGGAGGCTAAAACATAAGGAACGGCTGCTGGAATTGGGTATGTCTAGTTTAATGAAGAGAAGGACGAGGGGGGACATGATAGCAGTGTTCCAATATCTCAGGGGCTGCCACAAAAAAGAGGGAGTCAAGCTATTTTCCAAAGCTCCTGAAGGCAGGACAAGAAGTAACGGATGGAAACTAGTCAAGGAGAGAAGCAACCTAGAACTAGGGAGAAACTTCCTGACAGTTAGAACAATTAACCAGTGGAACAACCTGCCTCCAGAAGCGGTGAATGCTCCAACACTGGAAGTTTTTAAGAAGAGACTGGACAGCCATTTGTCTGAAATGGTATAGGGTTTCCTGCCTGAGCAGGGGGTTGGACTAGATGACCTCCAAGGTCCCTTCCAACTCTCTTATTCTGTTGTTCTGAGATGAGCAGATTGTGGATCAGAATAAAATCCTTTTCTGCGACACACTTATCACTTTTGGAATATTTTGTCATTAAAACTGTGCCTTTTCTATCATTCCTGATTTCTTTCAAAGCTGTGAAAGCATTTTTATCCAGACATTCAAACTTTAACAGGGAGTTGTATATTCTCTCAAGTTGCTGTATTTGTTCTCACTTTGTTTGTAGCTGAAGATTTTGGCTTTTGTTTATTTATTTGTATTTTATTTTACCATTATTGTATCCCCTACTTTGTATCCTGATTCTGTTGTTTGTTATATATCTTACATTATATTTTACTGTTAGTAAAATATACATGGAAAATCAATGGGATAAAACCTACATTCATACACGTGTGTGTATGTGTCTGTGCACACGTGTGCGCACACATGTAGGTTTTATCTCACTGATTTTATGGGCTTTTGGTTATAATAAGATTTGGTTTGAGATTTGATTTGATGTAATTCTGGACTGGGTTACTGTTGCTCCTTTTATATATTTTTGCTTAACCCTGGTTTGCTTAACTCAGGTTTTACGTACTCACATAATAAACTGAACTATAAGCTAATCATAGGAACTGGGCCTACACAAAAGATTAGGCTAAAATATCATTACCTTGTTCGTGTATCAGTGTGTTGTGCCGTCGCATGAGAAACACTTCTTCTGTCTTTCAATCTTTCAGGAGAGGCGTGGAGGGTGTTCCATAGAACGAAGCACTATGATGGCATGTTATCAGCATTCATCCAGGCAGGAATCAAAGTGCTCTTCAGTGCCTGCCAAGTGGAAACTGCTGACTTGCTAAAGGAACTAGCTTTGGTGGAACAGCGGAAGAATGCAGCCATCCGTGTGCCAACAGAAGTGGAGGGACCCCGACAGGATGTTTTCCGTTTCTATTTGACCATTCCCTGTGTCAGCTATACACTGGCTCTAGCTTTGTGCCACCATTTTGGTTCTTTAAAAGAGCTGGCAAACAGGTACAGTTCCCCTTTGGTTGTTCTGATTTCAACCCTTCGTTGGATATAAGCAGATAGGTTGATTTTTTGTTTTTCACTTTCAAATCTGTCAACTTTATGGAGCTGTCCTGGTAAAAGCCATTTTTTTTT